AGCAAGAACCTTTCCATCCTCATCCTTGATGCACCTCACTTGGTTTAGGTCCCTTGTCTTCTTTTCCCTTGCTCTAGCTAGTTTATAGATATTCAACTCTCCTTCTTTGGTATCTAGTCGCTTATACATATCGTCATAAGCCGCTAACTTAGCTTCTCTCACAGCTTTCTTCGCCTCTTGCTTCGCTCTTCTATACCTTTCACCATTTTCATCGGTCCTATCCTTGTATAAGGCTTTACAACATTCCTTCTTAGCCTTCACCTTTGTTTGTACCTCCTCATTCCACCACCAAGATTCCTTTTGGTGTGGAGCAAAGCCCTTGGACTCTCCTAATACCTCTTTTGCTACTTTTCGGATACAGCTAGCCATGGAATCCCACCTTTGGCTAGCTTCCCCCTCTCTATCCCACACACACTGGGTGATTACTTGCTCTTTGAAAATGACTTGTTTTTCTCCTTTTAGATTCCATCATCTAGTCCTTGGGCACTTCCAAGTCTTGTTCTCTTTTTTCTCACTCTTTTGATATGTACATCCATCACCAACAAGCGATGTTGATTAGCCAAGCTCTCTCCCGGTATAACTTTGCAATCCTTACAAGTTATACGATCCCCTTTCCTCATTAGAAGAAAATCTATTTGTGTTTTGACGACCCACTCTTGTAGGTGATCACATGTTCTTCTCTCTTCTTAAAGAAGGTGTTGGCTAAGAAGAGATCATATGCCATTGCAAAATCCAAGATAGCTTCCCCATCCTCATTTCTCTCCCCAAAACCATGACCACCATGAAAACCTCCATAGTTGCATGTCTCCCTGCCCACGTGTCCATTTAAATCTCCTCTTATAAATAACTTCTCCGTCTGAGCAATTCCTTGCACCAAGTCTCCAAGGTCTTCCCAAAATTTCTCCTTCGAACTCGTATCCAATCCTACTTGAGGTGCGTACGCACTAATCACATTGATGAGTTCTTGTCCTATTACAATCTTGATTGCCATGATTCTATCTCCTACCCTCTTGACATCTACTACATCTTGTGTCAAGGTCTTGTCCACAATGATGCCAACACCGTTTCTCGTTCTATTTGTGTCCGAATACCAAAGCTTAAACCCTGAGTTTTCTAGATCCTTTGCCTTAAGACCAACTCACTTAGTTTCTTGTAGGCACATAATATTTATCCTTCTCCTCACCATAACTTCCACTACTTCCATAGATTTTCCCGTTAAGGTTCCTATATTCCATGTTCCTAAACGCATTCTACTCTCTTGAACTCTACCCTTCTATCCTAGCTTCTTCACCATCTCCCGTCTAATAGGATCAAAGTACTTCTTTGTGTGTCCTGTGTAAAGTTGATAGGAGCATATGCTCCCAAACAACTTTGAGTGGAGTTGTTCGAAAAGAAGTTTCTATGGCCCCCTTGCTCATTTAACACTGCATCCGGGTGCCGATGGAGATACAGCGACCCTTACTCACTTATCACTGTGCTCGGGCCACACAGCGCGCCACTTACGGGTTACGTCCTAACTTTAGCGCGATTTCGTTCTGGATTCATTGTCATAAGGATTCGACGTAACTGTGGAGTGCCGGCTGTCGACTACCCGACGCCCTCCCCCTCCTCCTTTATCCGGGCTTGGGACCGGCAGTGTAAGATAAACTTACACAGGCGGAGTTATCTGGTTGTGATTAATTTACATAAAAAATCCATTTTTTGTTAGTCTGATGGTCATAATTTGTATCCGTTTTTCCAATCAAACTCAACTTTTGAGGAGTTTTTTTGGAAGTGGGATTTGTTTATTAGATGGCTAAGAGCTTGAAAATCATTTGTTTAAGGTGGATTTTTGCTATCTTGAATCGAGAGATGGCATGAATTAGCTGATGGGTTCAGATCCTTTTTTGATGTTGACATGGTAAATATGTGGTTGGTTACAAAATTCATATGGTTCATAGAATGGATTTCTGACATTTGCTACATGTACGTAGCAAGTAATATTATGTGATATACTTGTTTCATTGGACGAGTCTTTGGAGTAGCCAAAACGTCAAATGTTTGAGTTCGAAAATGAATTTTTCATATTTTCTCTCTGAATGCTTTAATGATAGACTTGGTGTTTGAATTACGTTGTGTTTTTTAGCGATGGTTCCAGTTTGGATTTAATAAGAGAAGTCTCGTTTTCATTTTGGTGTCGAAAATTGTGCAATTTGGATTTTAACCCTTGGAATTCAATAAGGGTAGTGATTTTCACTTGTGTTCTCATGTACCCTTCTGTTTTTTGGAACCCTTGATTTGCTTTGATTCTCCATTTGATTCATCATGTTCAAAGGCTGGAAAGACGGGATGAGTGCAGTGGTAAAAGCACTTCCCATCTAACCGAACTTGACAAATTTCAATAGGAGCCTTTGTGAATATCTTGTTTTTATTCATTAGATACATTGGATTCTCTGGTACAAATAGCATCTACTTACCTACAAATAGTATGTAACTATTTATTATAATCGGAAGACTATCGATCCGTTTGTTGTTGGAGGGGTGGATTTTGATGGAGTTTTCGATACTTATAAAAAGAGTTTTCGTAAAGTTTCCATGTTGGGAAAGTGTAGGAGGTGATTTCAATATTTTTGGTATTTTCAGGGCTAGGAGTGCTCATCATTATGAACATCTCCATGTCCTCTTTTTTTCTTTTGTGTGTGGTCTTTTTCCTTCTCAAATCCCTTTCTTTGTTGCTGCTTTCTTTTTTACTATTCTTTTTTTTTTATCTAATGGCATTAACATTAACATTATACTTTAGTATAAACTTTAATATTATACTTTAACATTAACATTCATAAGTTGATGCCAAATTATCCAATTAGGAAGTAAAGATGCATTCCTGTTGCATGTTGTGCTGTGCACAATTTCATTAGAATGCAATCAAGGAATGATACTTTGTTTCAACAATTTGAAGACAATGATGTTGATGTGGTAGAGAAAGCTCGGGGGCAAGTCAAGGAGAAAACATGCATTTGAATGACGACAATGTTACGAATGATGTTAGAGACCATATAACCAGATCAATATGGTTTGATCACGTCAATAACAATTAGTCTCAAAGTTTATCTGTTTTCTAGAATGTTTTAATGTAATATTTATTATCTAAGACTTGAAGTTTAATTTGATTATTGAGCATATATGTGTTGTATCAGCACATGAATATTAAAATACTATGTTTAAGATTTAATTTCATATGTTTTGTATATCTTAAAACAAATACATAATTGGAAGAAAAAAAAAACTGTTTTCAAGAGTTAAACCAAACAAGTTTTCAAATTTTTTGATTCAAAAATAGTTTTTAAGTTCAATGCCAAACAAGTTTTTGAAACCTAAAAAAAACAGTTTCTAAGAGATGATCCTGAAAATTAGTTTTAAGAACAATTCAAGTTTTTGAGGAGGTCCTAAATTTTTTTTGAAACAAAAAAAAATAAAAAAAAATGTTTCTGGGTTGTCCCCTACCTCAACCCCGACCCCCTCCCTCCCTTTTCTCCTCTGCATGCCGGAACGGGAAATTAGCTCCGCCGCGAAAAGGGTGCATATAATCACAGTGTTCCTTGTCGTCGCGTTCGAATCCTCCAGCAGAAGCGGGAGGCTTATCTGAACGGGACACGTCGTCTCCGGCAGCTCCGTCATCCCTGTAAAATTCGACCTGTCAGTCTCCTATTTGTCGACCCGGAGAAACATAGCGGTTTCGGATCCGGGCGACCAGTACCCGTATAACAATCTCTCGAGCTGGAGCACGCAGTAGCCTTTGCCGTCGTATTTGAACATGAATCTGAGGCAATCGTTTCTCCCCAGGCATCTCGATTCGCAGATGTTGAAATTGACGGCGGGCCAATTGGACTGGTTGGACCTGCCCGTGAAATTCACGTAATCAAGCCGCTCAAATTTGGTGTTCCCCAAATTCGTGAGCTTAATTTTCCTTTCGCACCCTCCGTCTTTGATTCCGCCGGCGGATCCTCTAAATCTCGACGGGCACACGCAGTAAGAGGAGCTCGAACCGTCGCTGACGCAGATGGCGTTCAGCCCGCACATGCCGTGGACTTTGCACAATTCGTACCCGGCTTGCCAGATGATGTTCCATTGCCGCAGACTGGGATCGTAGCTGTAAATTCTGAAATTCCCGTCGTCGTCAATCATCAGTTTTTGAGATCGATTTAGGCCGAAATCGGAGGCGATAAACGACTCGCCGTTTGCCTGCTGCACTTTGCCTTCGGAGTCCAGAGACTGGAAAGCGTTGCTGAGACTCTAATAGACGTCAGTGTCGTTGAAGCCTAAATTACTCGCGTTGACGACGCTGAACTTGCCGTTCTTGGAGAAGAGGGTGTAATTAGCTCCGGTCATGCTCTGGTTCGGCAACACTATGCAGTGGGGAAGGCGAAGCTCTCCCATTTGCCGTAAATTAAGTTTCCGTCGTTGCGGAGGAGTCTGGTGGTGTTTGGGTTCGAAGATGAAGGTCTGGGGTTGAGGTAGGGAACAACCCATAATCTTTTTTTTTATTTTTTTTTGTTTAAAAAAATAATATTTATGTGGGCCCCTATGACACATGGTGTCTAGTCACTGTCTACGTGAACGTCACGTCATCAGTTAGCGGTTGATTTAACAGCAAACTTAATGAATATATAAAAGTATTCCAAAATTATGACTTTATGCACCATTCTGAGATGAAAAAAACTTTATGTATTAAATATTAAAAATGAAGAAATTTCAGGATAGTAAACTGAGATTAATCCTTATATTAAATAAAAGAATCAAATTTAATTTTGAATTAAAACAAATATAAACAACAAGGGTACTTTTAAGATGAGAATGTGTTTTGAAATACCATTTAAAATTTCGACAACGGTCACAATTAAACCATGTTAACGTCATGTTCACATCTTGTATTGACTTCTTTAAAGAAAGAATGGGAGAGGAGGGGAGGGGAGTGGAGAGGAATTGACGGGATTCCAACTCCTCCATATATATACTTTGTAAAATAAATTTCGAATATTTTCTTTCTGGTATAGTCCGTTCAACCATAGCTGGAATACACGTACATATATAATACATTCAAACAATGTTCTATTTAGTGCTACAAATTAACAAAAACACACTACAAGTTTGCTTAATCTGAGGGTATGGGGGGTGGATTTTCTGTGATCTGTTTCGAGTGCTTCGGAGTAGCAACTATGAGAGCTTTGATGATTGGTACAACCTTTTCTGTGAACTTTATGATTCCCAGAAACATGAGCCTGTAAACTATTACCATTCCAAACAAAATGGCAAGATCGACCCACTTGGAGTATCCCATCTGCACTTGCCAAACGCTTCGTAAAATTTCTTCACCGTTAATTGTTGAATATCCTTCTGCTTGATTGTTTGGGAATGTCAGTCCTTCAAACTCATTTTTGTAGAATCCTTCATTTGCGTACTTGTGGAATGCAATGTAGTACATTGGATATCTCCAGAAGGGCTTAGGGAGGTCATTGGGTAGTCGGAAGAAACCTCCGTTCAGCATCATTACTCCTTGAATTCCAGCACCGGTAATAATTCCCATGAGGAAATCTGGCACAACGCTTGCGACAATCATCATTAGGCTCTCGACCAACATCATGGTCACAAAGAGTAGCAATGCAAAATAGGCAAAGTGATCAAAGCTCTTTTGAAGACCGACAAGGTAGTAGGCTATAGCTCCGGGAATTAAAGAGATGATGAGCAAGTATGGAATGGAGGAAAACGTGTTTCCAACAACAAATGCCGAAACACCATAGTGCCCGTTCAATCTCTCTCGCCCGAAGATCTGGTTCGTGAGACAAATAAAAGGCGGTCAGATCATCAATAATGCTTATTAGATGCAATGCTCACAAAATAAGGAACGATCCAGCAAACTGACAAACCTTCATGTCTTCTACAAAAGAAGGGAATCCACCTATTGCCATGAAAGTCAAGAATGCTCCAACAAACATAAGCATCGAACCTCTCGCCTGAAAATTCGGTCATTTTTGGAGCTATTAAATTAGTATTGGCTAATGTTTTGCATGACAGTAGAGAAATATATCGGTGATATCTTCAGTGAATTACCTGTATGGACCCAAAAGTGGAGCCAATGTCGTAAAAGATAGTGCCTACGCATAAACACAAGGCAATGTAAATTGCAAGGCGAAGCCAGTAGTAGCCAAGATCGCGATACATGTTCACAAACGATCTCCTTGTGAGAACAAGGCATTGGTTTACGAAGCTGGCTTGACTTCCCTTCTCTAGAGTTCCACCTTTCTACAATACAAAAGAAAAGCGCATTAAGTAGTATTCGCTAACCTCTTTTCTTTTTTCGTTTCTATGCTTTCGATCAGCTCATAATACTTTAATTGAGTGACAGATGGTTTACCTGTTGGGAAATACTAGCTACCTGCAGCTGAACTTGCTTGTTAATATTTGAATACTTGTATGATTGTATGAGAATATTAATCGCTTCTTCTGTGCTTGTTTTGCCCCCAAGCCCTTGTTCGATATCCTAATATCAAAGGCTCCACGTAAGTTTTCGTAGTTGGAGTTTCCATATTTTTATCATATGAAGATATCTAATTAGTTTTCCTATCAAGATTTATTTATTTAATTTTTTTTTTTTTCGGGGTATCAAAAAGTTGAAATATAGCGAGTAGATTGTTCTAAGAAGACTTACAACATCAAAATCCTTGTTGATAGTTCTAAGGTAGTGATCTGATGGGTTTCTCAGAGTCGGGCATGGGAATCCATTTGAAGCAAAAAACTGCACCATTCGGATTAGTACTATTGCTTAATCGCTCGTATGTAAGAAGTAAACAAGTTTATGCTGATGAGAGTTCAAAGCTTACTTGTTCTGCCATTGAAGCAAGGCCAAAGTAGACTGTCCTACTAGAGGAGAGTAGGCAAAGATTTTGGAAAAGATCGAAAACCTCACTGCTAGGTTGATGAATCGATGCAATAACTGTCCTTCCATCACGGTGAGCTAGCTTAACAATGCGGTTCATGACGTGGTAAGACGCTGCACTGTCTAGGCCACTAGTAGGCTCATCAAGGAAGAGAAGCTTCGGGCGAGTCAAGATTTCAATGCAAATGCTAACTCTTCTTTTCTGGCCACCGCTAAGTCCTTTTATGCTCCAACCTCCAATTCTTGTGTCCATGGAGTCTTGCAACCCCATCTCCCTTATCGTCATCTCCGCTCTTTCCTTCTTTTCTGCTTGGGACATGGAGTCGGGCAGTTGCAGCTGCGCTGAGTAATATACAGCTTCCCTTACTGTTAATGTTGTCATTAGAGTGTCGTCTTGAGTCACGTACGCCTATATCATCGAGAAATCAAACGTAGGAACTATTATTTCCTAAAATAAATAGGAATTATGACATTAAAGTGAGGAAGTGATGCATTATATATGTGAGTGATGAGATTGTACATCTTCATATATGTTCATTTTTCTTACCGATGTTCCGAAAGCAAGTGTTTCTTTACGGCCATTGATTAAGATCTCCCCGGTCTGCTGTGTGTTTGAACTTAGCCTTCCTGCAATATTTAAACGTTTTAAAAATCTCTACGGCGCTAGGCGGCTAGCCACCTTCCTAATTAATGTCTAGACGTTTGAAAATTAAGAAATGACACCTAAACCTATTGAGGCGCCCTCCTAGGCACTTGCCTAGCGCGCCCAGACCCGCCTAGGCATCTGCCTAGGTTGCAATTCACTTAGATAGAAATAGATAACTTTTATTTTGCATTTTATTTTTTTTCCAATAAATTGTAATAGACTTATTAAATACTTAAATGAACACACATTATATGTTTGTTCTCATGTTTTCATTATGTTCCAATAGCTAATAATATAGGGGTGTGATATTCACACACCCCTTTTTACTTCTCTCACACCCTTTTAATTTTCGGTCGTCGGATCGGATAAATTAAAGAAGATCAAATGACAGAAATTAACAAGGGGTGTGGGAGAAGTAAAAAGGGGTGTGTGGATAGCACACCTCATAATATATATGTCATTCTATTTTGTATTTTATGATGAAATTATATGTATTTTAAGTATAAACATACATTTTTTTACACGAAATATAATAGATTTAATTAAATCCGTCTAGTCTGCCTAGACACCGCCTAGACCTTGCTTAGCCACCTAGGCGCTAAACCTCAACATGCCGCCCGAGTAGCGCCTACCATCTTTTAGAACCTTGATTATAGATCTTAATTGGAGCTCTGACTTTATCAGAATTTTCACGTAGCAGAATGGCTGCTCCATTTTTATGGGAAATTAGCCGTTTTAGACGGATTTCAAACAGGTTGTTCCGAAATAAAAAGATATAAGTGGCTTTCAAAATGGTTGTGCCGAAATAGAAACTTTTAGAAAATGAAAAGACAAAGAAATCCATGCTTTTAAGCCCCCTTCCGCTCTCTCTCCTCCCTGCGTTCATGCTCCAGACATCTCTCTCTCTTCCAGATTTTAGAGCAGTGACTAATTGAATTTCATTGCAGACCAAAATTGGAGAAACGAAAGAGATTTGGAGGAAGTGTATCCAGTAGCAAAGACACCAAAACAAAATCTATATTTTGTCAGGTTCCCAACTTCTCCACCTACTATTACAATATTAAATATTAGGTTTCATCAACAAATGATATCGGTGATATTAAAATGAAAACTCTCATATATTAATTATATATTATTTTATATATGATCAATATAGAATCATATTCTCCAACAATTTCAACTTGCCCTTCCCCCTAAAATTAGAAGCCTTTTTACACAGTTACACATGACAAACAAGAAAGAATATATGAAATCAAAGAAATAAATGAATTTTTTAAATTTGTTTTATGATCTGTTATATAAAGTTGGTCAGTTTTTCATAAAACAATATATTGAAAAATAGGCTGAAATGAAGATTTTACCCTTTCAAATGTTGAAATGATAAACATCTCCAATAATATATGGATAAAATATTAGTGACATAATCCATTAAATATTAACGATAACTTGACAAGATCTAACAAATGGTCATTTCTTCTTCTGAGATTTGTATTTTCATCATTTCAGCCAATCTCCAAAAGAATTATACATAGTTGAGAGTTACCTGCCAAAGCATCCAAAAGGGTAGATTTGCCAGAGCCAGAAGGACCCATGATAGCCAACATCTCACCAGGTTGAGCATACCCTGTAACCTCCTGCAAGATCATTCTTTGCCCATTTTTCCCATCAGCTACACCAACCCACAGGTCCTTCCATGTCAAAGAAACTCCCTTCCTTTTCGACCTGATTTCGATCAACACCATCACCACTACTTTGATGATCATTTCCGCAACTCAGCTTTGCAACGGATTCCAGTCTCAGAGGCGGAGCTTCACGAACGTCCTTGCCGGAGTTCGAAGCCAAACCGCCTTTAAACTCAATGCGGAACGGGAAAATTCTGTCCATGCTGGAGCAGGACAATGATATGTTCCCACCATCATCATCTTCTTCTGCAGAATCTCTGGTTTGTTGCCTTTGCATATGATCATCATCTGATGACAATAATGTTCTTGTTGGGCTTGGACTTGGTGTCCATCTTGGAACACTACTTTTAGCCGAAGAATTCAACTCCATGGCAATGGATGGATGTTAAGGTCGTTGCAGGTTTTTGCACTAAGATATATCCAACTGGTCGTATTTAAAGTTATTTAAACCTTGCAAGTTCAAATATATTAATGAAATCCTAGCCAACTTCTTCAATTAGGTAAATAAAATAATTAAATTAATGTTTGGAGGTGGGGTTGCTGACAGGCTGCACCATCCTTATAAATGCATGAATTTTATTGGATAAACAGTACATGTTCAATGCACTTGAATGCTAATGCCCGTCTCCTTTACATACATTTGTCGTTAACACGTGTCACTCCTTTAGGATTACATACATGTACGGACAAAAATGATCCACGTGCATGTGGGAAACTGACTACAGCACTTTTTATAATAATAGGTTAAACTTCGGTGTTAGATCGAGTTTTCACTTTGATCTTTTGTGTTTAATTAGTGTATTAATTAGTACAAAATTATGAATTTACACAGTTTCATTAACAAGCATGTGAAAGAGAACGGCCTCTAAAATCTTAACCGAGAAAAATCCAGTGGGAAAAAGTCCGGTTAAGGAAAGAAGCCTCACGTAGTACTAAAACGAAAATTAACCAACGTTTACCGACCTCTTATGTGTATATTGCATCAGCCATGGCAGCCCCCGAATCCATTCGAAACGACAGACCACTACGCGTGTATTCTTAATAATGTAGCTTAGTTTGCCAATCCACACACTGTATGTAATCAACGACCATCGATCCTTTTGATTGTTGCTTAGTTTGCAAGTCTGAAATGCTTTTGACTTTCAAAACCAAATATAGAACAAAGATTGAGAATATGGTAAGTTGGCTGGCTTGTTTTATCGTAATAAGTGGTTGTTTTACTATAATAATTAAGGTGGCTTTGAATTTGGACTTTTCCAACAAAGCATGCATCCACAAGTTGCGACTAATATTTTTTTTTCTTTTCAATCGAACCTCGGCGGAAGGTGGTGAGTTTTGATGGGTCAAAGAAAGTTATACTTAGGAGGACATGAATTTTATCCCTCTTATTACAAAGAAGATGAAAAAACAAAAGGTAATGTTATCCACACATTCATTTTTATCTCTCATAAATCCTCTTAATTTCCGACTGTCAAATTGAATGATTGAAGAAAATCAAAGGGTGTATGGAAAATAAAAATTGGTGTGTGGATAACATCACCTAAAACAAAAAAAAATACAAGTAAAAGTGGAGGAACATAAACCTGATCCTCCTGAAAACAAAAATAATATTACAAGAAAAAGAAGGGGGCATAGAACCTAACCCTCTAAAACAAAGCCTAAGTATTACGGTCTAGTGATATTTCTCTTCACTTATAAATGAGAGGTCTTATGTTTGATTATTGCCAATGAAAAATTTGAACCATATTATTGCTAGCCCATTGTGAAGCTTAGCCCACTCCCCCACCTCCGTAGTATAGATAATATCGTTTACTAAAAAAATGCCTAAAATATAGAAACCTAGAAAATAAACTTTGAACACACCAAATACAAAATATTAGAAAAATAATCAAATCACACATCATGAGAAAAAGACTGACATGTAAACTGAGATTCAAACTAATTTGAAAATCGAAAACCAAGTAAGGCAAGAAAATCTGAATGCAGTGAAGCTAGAATTGTCGACAGAGGTGAAGCATGCCACACCAAGGTTGAGAAAGCCAAACCCATGTTAGCAAAGCTATCTGCAACAACATTCCCTTTCCAGTAAATGTGAAAGCAGTAAAAAGTCATCATCTTGAAGCGAGCCAAAAAAGTAAACCATTGTGTATGAAGAGGCCATGGAATTATCACATCCCAACCAAAGCATATGCCAACTCCTCTGATACTCAAAATCAACACCAAGAAGAACTCCTAATAATTCCACAAAAAGGAATTGCAATGACCAATACCTTGACAAAAACCACCAAGAAATTGACCATGCCAATCCTTAACCCCCCAAGCAGCAGCACTAGGATTCCCTTTAACCAACCCAACCTAAAAATCAACTGAATTGTGTAGGTCAGTGTAGTGGTGATCCCCAACGGCGATGGTTTCAAGAAGTTCTAGACAACTCTCTCTCTCTTCTTTCAACAACAAAATTGTAGATCTCTCTCTCATTCCTCAACAGATCACTCTCTTGTCGTTAGTACAAAGAGTTTTTTTTTTTTTTTTTTTTTTTTTTTTTTGTATTACAAAACCAAGAGGCCGCCTAGATACCGATTAATAGCCCTTTCGATTTGTTGAACGATTTCATAATAATCGTTGCGAGGGCCTGCCGTCTAACGCCTAGGCAGCCGCCTAGCCCGCGTTTTAGAACACTGCCTTTAGCCAAACTATCAATGTTATTAGGTTGACAAACCGGCAACATATTTAGTTTGGTTAAACATCGGTGGAGTCGTAAAATAGTCGGTTTTGAAGTACCTTCAGTTTGGTTAAACAACGCTACTAATATTTCGGTTGGTTATTTATCTCAAGTCTTAGCCTACGAAGAATCTACAATTCTTTCGCTTAAATAGGTCACTTCATTAGCCTTTCCAATGAAGTGAGGTGTTCTATGAAGTTACTCACAAGTGCATTTAGAGTTCGGTACCTTTACCGTAAAGATTCTCATTTCCTCTAATTATTTTTGTTCATACAACATGATTCCAGTTCGACGCACCTATATTTTCAGAAATATAGTTAAAGAGGCTAAACCCGGTGCATAAGATTGAATTTTGTACATAGCCTTGTCTTCAATTTTTAAAACTCAAGGCCGAGAATGTTTCTTCCTTGGCTAAAGCCACTCGGTGCATAAATTAGCAATGCGGTTCATCACCACACCACCGCATTCATCTCATTTTTTTGATCGAATTTGGTTGAGAATTGGCATGCCCACATCAACTAAATGATGTAGTTAGCTGGAAAGGGATCCTCTCCGGATCCCTTCCACCAAATCCTCCCCATCAACTAATCTGGACCCTTTCCCAGTTAGCTCAATATTAGTCAATCTGCGTGCCACATAAGTCTTGTAGTTCTTTCTTAGGTTTTCCTCTTACTTTTATATGAATCTCTATTTGATAAAAACAAATTAAAAAAAGAAAGAAGAAGATAAATTACTCACATGTTTTGCACATGATTCTATCTTATTAACAAGAAATTTATTTCAACTAATGGTTTATTATATTTAGAGTACCAAACCGTATTTTCATAATATTGAAAAATCTCTCCTATTCAACCAATCTTTCGGGCCTAGACAAGGGAAAGTCTAATGTCCTTTTTTGGTTCTTTCAAATGGAGGATGATTTTGTAGACATCGAAATTTCGGTAAATAAATGTCGACCGATAAATTAAAGTGTCAACGCTCATGTATTACATAAATTTTACACGTAGCGTGCAACTCAACGAAAATTGAAATGAGTTGGAAAAGTCATCAAATAGGACACGTGTCAACACCTGGCAGAAACAACTTATTTCATCTGGAATATTATATTCAAAACTAGGCCTTGGAAAATTCTATAAATAGAAGGCTAATTCATTCATTTAAGGGAACCAATTCATATTACACCTTGAAGCTCTGAAGCTCTGAAACTCCGAAGCTCTCAAGCATCCAGGTTCCTGAAGAATCAAGAAAGCCTTCTTCGTTCTTCGTTCATCGTTCTTCCAAGATCAAGCCCCGACGGCCCTTGAAGAAAGTGTTCTTCGTTCATCGTTCTTCCAAGATCAAGCCCCAAAGGCCCTTTGGATCAACAATCATCCACTAATTCAAGATCAAGCCCCGACGGCCCTTGAAGAAAGCACCATCGTTCATCATCCGTTCATCCAAGATCAAGCCCCAACGGCCATTTGGATCAACGAACGTCGACAAATCCATACATCCAACAGTTCTTCAAGATCAAGCCCAAAAGCCCTTGAAGACCCGTTCATCACTGTTCTTCAAGATCAAGCCCAAAAGCCCTTGGAGATCCGTTCATCACTGTTCTTCAAAGATCAAGCCCAAATAACACTTTGAAGATCCGCTCAAATCCACCTTCAAGATCAAGTCCACAGCCCTTGAAGAAACGTTCATCCTTAGATCAAGCCCAACGGCCCTTTGGATCAATCACACATCCACAAATACACACCTTACGGAGATCGAATCAGAGGATCAAAATAGAGAGAGATTGTAACCCAAAATCATCACAAATACAAATATTTGTTTGTGCACGTTTGTTCTTGTCTCTTTCGTTTCAGGAATTTTCCGTGTTCACAGATTTTCTCTCCTTCTGTTCTCTCTCACCTTCTCCTTTTTTGCTACTTGAACAACTATGGTTAAGTTACGTCAATATTTTATATTAATTTTTTTTATAAAGAAAATAAGACAAAAAAACAAAGTGTTTGAGGAGAGGAGGAAAAATGATGAGAATAGGAAATGAGAGAAGTATGAAGAAGCATGAGACAAACGACAAGTCGTTAAAAGATCATGAAGTAAGGTCATCTTCAATGGAGAGGGTCAAAGGTTAAAAAACCAAAAAATAGCTTGATTTGTCCAAAAACCATCTCTAGCCGATGACAAGGCTATAATTTTTATGGAGCCCACAAGACCATTATTTAGCCAAAAGGGAATCAGGTTGCTCAAATGTAGCCCCCTTTTAGCTCTTTTGGCGATCAACTTTTCGATTCCAATAATTGATTCAAATTTAACGGTTAAATTTAAAAACATTCAACAATAGTTTAATTAAATTAACCAATAAATTTAAAGTATAAATTTAAAACTAATAAATTATTGAGAGGGATAGGTTTAGCTATTTGGTTAGAAATGATATATGAGTATGACTTAAAATTGTTTATATAAAAATAATTTTTTATAAGATTATAATTTTAAACAAAACTATTTTTAGCCCTTTCAATTGGAGATTGTCTAAGAGGGAGCTTCATCATGGAGTACAAACAAGACAACTCACCCGAGTCATACACTTCACTTCCCATCTCTGACACTCCGACATCAATCATACCCTGTTTTCCCACTGTTCTCCATTTTTATAATAAAAACGAGCTCACCACACTAATGAATCACATGCCTCCACGTGACAACCTAGGGTAGACTTACTGCCAAAGGCAAATTTCGACTCCT